TGTGGGACGATATTCGGACTCATTGAATCCACTTTATTACTTGTTAACTAACCGTACACTTGCGGTGATTTAAAATCGAAAGAAATAATTTCGTGAACAAGTTTTTGGCGCCGTTGCCGGGGATTGAGTTTAGTTTAATTTTATTTCTCGAGGCACTAATTCGAACTCAATTTTTATTTTACTAGCATAATTTTGTTTTTATTTTTATTTTAGGTTATTATCCTTTATTTGTGTTTTAGTTAATTAAATTGTTTGAATCTATGTGCTCGTACTTGTTTTAATTCTCAGATTCGCATGTCACGATTGCCTGGAGGAGAATTAATTCCAGCTGATCCTGAAATTGAGCGCACCTTTCATCGACGACAAAGAGATCACCGCGAAGCACAAGTACAAATGGCCAACGAATTAAACAATCCTATTATTCAAGCTAACGAAGGAGAGGCAGTGGATGAAGGAAATGAAATTCTGGGGGACTTCTTGACTCCTCAAGTTACTCAAAGCCAATCCTGCATTGTATATCCACCGTTTGGGCAGCCCAACTTTCAATTGAAGACCAATGTAATACAGCTGTTTTAAAATGGACATCAATTCTATGGTAAAGCCGAGGAGAATCCACACACGCACACGTATCTCGATTTCTAGATATGTGTCAATATTTCAAATACCAAGGGATTTCGGATGACGCTATTAGGTTGAGGTTTTTTTAACATACGTTACGAGACAGAGCACTTGAATGGTTGGATTCACTCCCGATTGTAAGTATCACTACATGAAATGAGCTGGCACACAAATTCTGCACAAAGTTCTTCTCCCCAGCAAAGATTGCAAAGCTGAGACATGATATATCAGTATTCAATCAAGGAGAGAATGAATCATTTGATGAAATCTGGAACAGATTTAAAAACATGCTCCGAAAATGCCCTCAGCATGGGTTCGATAAAAAGACCCAGATTTGATTTTTCTACACAAGATTACTTCTATACCATAAGAGCATGGTGGATTCAGCATCAGATGGCTTAATATCCACAAGAACAGTTGATGGGGCATTGGAATTATTTGAGCGAATGGCTACCACATCAGCCATGTGGTCTTCTGAGAGGGCGATCCTAAAGAAAACTCCAGGTGTCTACGAGGTGGACGCTTATTCAGCAATATCTGCAAAAATTGACTCTCTGTATCACAAGGTGGAAAGCATATCACAATCATCACAAGCTAAGAAGAGCAATTGTGAGGAATGTGGAGCCGGGCACAAAACGTCAGATTGCCCAATACTCATACAAGGAATTGAGCAAGCAGATTACGCACAGTGGGGACAACGTCAGCAACACAATCAATATGGCGAGACTTTTAATTCCAGCTGGAAGAAGCATCCCAACTTCTCTTGAGCAACCAGAATCAGAATAAGCCACAGGGGCAATTTCAACAACAAGAGAAGAGGCCTCAATTGGAAGATATGATAGGAAAATTCATGGAGAAGGCCGAAGCTACACTTCAAAATCAAAAGGCAGCCATCAAAAATTTGGAAACTCAGATGGGGCAGCTAGCCATCGCATTGACTGGCAGAACACCAGGTAACTTACCAAGTAATACAGAAATCAATCCTAAAGAGCAAGCCAAGGCCATTACAACTCGAAGTGGAGTGCAATTACCTGAAATCCATGTCAAGAGACCGGGTGTGATTGGAGAAACATCTTCCTCCGCTGAAGAAGAGACTGTTGTAAAGGAATCAAGTTTAAAGGAAAATTCAGAAGAATCACAGGATAAGGCCAAAGTCACAGTCAACCCCTACGAGCCTCCGATTCCCTTTCCACAGCGCTTGAAGAAGCAAAAAGTGGAGCAACAATACAAATTTTTTTTAGAAATCTTCAAAAAGCTCCATATCAACATCCCACTAGCTGATGCACTGTTCCAGATGCCTAGCTACGTGAAATTTCTAGAGGATATCATATCAAATAAACGCAAGCTGAAAGATCATGAGATAGTTATGCTTATGGAAGAATGTAGTGCTAGAATTTAGAATAAGCTTCCACCAAAACTAAAAGATCCAGGGAGTTTTACTGTTCCTTGCACAATCGGTGAAATATATTTTGATAAAGCATTTATGTGACCTCGGTGCAAGTATTAATTTAATGCCTTTATCTGTTTTCAGGAAACTCGGTTTGGGAAAAGCTAAAGCAACTACTGTGACACTTCAGCTGGCTGACAGGTCACCGACACATCCTAGAGGAATAATTGAAGATGTGCTTATCAAAGTTGAGAAGTTTCATATTCCCAGCGGATTTTCTTATCTTGGACATGGAAGAGGACAAGGACGTCCCATTGATACTTGGCAGACCATTTCTGGCAACAGGGAGAGCTTTAATTGATGTTCAAAGAGGTCAGTTGATTTTAAGATTGGGAGAGGAGCTGATATCATTCAATGTATTCAAGGCAATGAAACTACCAACAAAATCTGACAACTGTTATCAAGTTGACATTATTGACAGTACAAGAAACATTCTTACTACACGGTCCATCTGATGCCTATGAGGCATGTATTACACAATCCCAATCAATCCAGTCAGAGTCTTTTGAAGTTGAAACATGTGCAAGATTTTTGGAGACCAACCCGCCATACACCCAAAAGAGGCACTTCGAGGAACTGGGGACAGGAAACACAAAGCCACTACTTTCAGTTCAGCAGCCACCAGTTCTGGAACTCAAGCAATTACCACCACATCTCAGATATGCATATTTGGGGAAGTTAGATACACTTCCAGTAATCATTAAGATTCTAATGGACGAAAATTGCAAGCCAAGTATAGAGGGTCAGAGAAGATTAAATCTGAACATGAAGGAAGTGGTCAGGGCAGAGATATTAAAATTACTGGATCCAGGAATTATTTACCCAATTTCAGATAGTGCATGGATTAGCCCAGTTCAAGTGGCACCGAAAAAAGGGGGAATCACAGTGGTGAAAAACGAGAAGAATGAATTAATTCCCACTAGAACAGTTACGGGATGGAGAGTTTGCATTGACTATCGCAAGCTCAATGCAACCACACGAAAGGATCATTTTCCCCTCCCATTCATCGATCAGATGTTAGAAAGATTGGCTGGACATTCACATTACTATTTCCTGGATGGATACTCGGGTTATAATCAGGTACCTGTCGCACCAGAAGATCAGGAGAAGACCACTTTTACCTGTCCCTATGGTACTTTTGCTTATCGTAGGATGCCTTTTGGTCTTTGTAATGCCCCAGCCACATTTCAGAGGTGTATGATGGCAATATTCTCCGATGTGATTGAAAGGTTTATTGAAGTTTTCATGGACGACTTCTCAGTGTTTGGATCTTCATTCGATGAATGTGTTAGAGCACCTGAATTTGGTCTTACAGAGATGCAAGGAGACTAACTTGGTTTTAAATTGGGAGAACTGCCACTTTATGGTGCAAGAAGGCATTGTACTCGGGCATCGAATCTCATCGAAAGGAATTGAGGTGGACAAGGCAAAAATTCAAGTTATTGAGAAATTACCACCACCTACATCAGTTAAAGGGGTTCGTAGTTTCTTGGGACATGCAGGGTTCTACAGGAGATTTATAAAAGATTTCTCGAAGGTCACTAAACCGTTATGTAATCTGCTAATGAAAGACGTCACCTTTGAGTTTAATAAAGAATGCCTCACAGCATTCAACACCTTAAAGGAGAAACTTACGACAGCACCAGTAATTGTGGCACTAGACTGGGAACTCCCTTTTGAATTGATGTGTGATGCAAGTGATCACGCCGTGGGTGCAGTATTGTGACAACAGAGAAACAAAATCTTTCACGTAATTTACTATGCAAGTAGGACTCTTAATGAAGCACAAATCAACTACGCCACCACTGAAAAGGAGCTATTGGCTGTAGTGTATGCATTCGACAAATTCAGGTCTTATCTTGTCGGGTCTAAATTTATAGTCTACACAGATCATGCTGCATTAAAGTATCTACTCACAACGAAGGATGTAAAGCCGAGGTTAATTCGTTGGGTGCTATTGCTGCAAGAATTCGATATCGAGATACAAGACAAGAAGGACAGTGAGAATGTAGTAGCGGATCACCTATCCCGATTGGAGCCTGGGGGGACGGATGAATTAGTGGACATCAATGAGATCTTCCCATATGAGCAAATGTTGAGAGTAGATGAAGCACCTTGGTATGCAGATATTGCCAATTACTTAGCCAGTTCCATCCCACCACCGGACTACTCGAGTCACCAAAGGAAAAAGTTCTTCGCCGAATTGAAGTATTATTTTTGGGAGGACTCAATTCTCTATAGGCGAGGGGCTGATCAGATGGTAAGGAGATGCATACCTGAGGAAGAAGTACATGAGATTCTCGAGCACTGCCATTCGTCTGCTTACGCAGGGCACTTTGGGGCTTCAAAAGCAGCTGCAAAGATTCTACAATCAGGTTTCTACTAGCCTACACTGTTTAGAGACACATTTGAGTTTGTTAAGAGGTGTGACCGATGTCAATGCACTAGGAATATCTCGAGAAGGAATGAAATGCCACTGAACAACATTTTGGAAGTGGAGATATTTGATGTTTAGGGAATTGACTTCATGGGACCTTCCTCCCCCCCTTCGTTCTCAAATCAGTATATCTTAGTGGCAGTGGATTATGTATCAAAATGGGTGGAAGCAGTTGCATTGCCAACAAATGACTCAAAGGCAGTAATTAGATTCTTGAAGAAATACATTTTCACCCGATATGGTACACCGCGGGCTATAATCAGCGATGGGGACAAGCATTTCTATAATCGCCAGTTTGAACAGTTGCTGAATAAATATGGCGTTAAACACCGCGTTGCTACTCCATATTATCCACAAACCAGCGGGCAAGTTGAGGTATCTAATCGGTAGCTAAAGAGAATACTAAAAGTCACTGTGAATTCATCTAGAAAGGATTGGTCTAAAAAGTTGGACGATGCATTATGGGCTTACAGAACAGCATTCAAGACCCCGATAGGCATGTCTCCATACCGCCTAGTCTTTGGGAAAGTGTGCCATCTGCCACTAGGAATGGAGCACCGGGCATACTGGGCGATGAAACAGTTGAATATGGACTTGAGCGCCGCCGGTGAAAAGCGTCTGCTGCAACTTAATGAGTTAGATGAGTTTAGAATGGAAGCTTATGAAAATTCAAAACTTTATAAGGAACGAACAAAGAAATGGCACGACATGCATATTCAGAGGCGAGAGTTTGAAGTGGGGTAGAGAGTGCTATTGTATAACTCGAGACTCAAGCTTTTCCTAGGAAAACTAAGATCAAGGTGGTCGGTTCCTTATACTGTCACGAAAGTTCTACCATATGGGGCTATACAAGTGAGCCATGAGACTAAGGGTACCTTCACTGTTAATGGGCAAAGACTGAAACGCTACTGGGGCGGTGACTTCTCCAACCAAAAGTCCATCGTTCAACTCGAGACGCCAGAACGAAGCAGCTACAGAAAAGTCGAGCTATCGACTATAACCTAGCGCTGGGTGGAAGGCAACTCACTGTATCCTTTTCATTTAATTTATTATGCTCTCTGCACTTAGATTAGAAATTATTTTTGTTTCAATTTCATTTTACATTTTCTTTATGTGGTCATCGATCATCCATACATGTTAAAAGAGTCCAAGTACTATACACACGAGTCGGGCCGATTGGAGTAGTTTGGGAGATTGGGTGTGAAATTCACGTATTTCGAGGAAAATTTTGTTTTCTAAAGTTCACATGTCAATTATTTAAAAAAAAATAAAATTTTGGTTTTGGGTACTACATTTACGACCCATACACGTCCCACAATGTTTAGAAGTATGTTTTTGAGAAAAAATTGGAGACGTTAAAAGCCGGGTCAATTCCTCAAGTGAAAACCATAATTTTAGTCAAAAGTCGGGCTTTTGGAGATATCATTTTTATTTTATTCTTACTATTAATTATTTAACAAAATAAAAAATTTCCATGCGACCGCACATATACCATCCAAGAGTTAAGTGGCCAAAGCCACTAAAACCATGCGACCGGAGGGGCTAAAGCCATGCAGCCGCATGGCAATAATAAGGCGTGGGTTAATTTTTCCTTTCATTTTCATACCTTTTATTCCCCAAACTCTCTCCCAACCACACTTACCTAGGGCACGATTTTGGGCTAGCATAACATATTTTACACACTAATCTCATCATAGCTTTGTAATAACATCGAAAAGAAATCAAGTTTTGGAACTACATTCAACCCCTACAATTCCAAGGTATGTGTTTTAGGGTTCTTCACGTGTGAAATTTCAATTTTGAGGATTCGAGGGAGATTGGGTTAGTTCTTGTACGTTTGGATTTGATGTGCTTGTGTTGTGAGAAAAATTGGAATGATTCTAAAACTCAATTCTTTCAATTGGTACCAGCTTCACACTATGCATGCAATGTGTTTGATGAAATGCCACAATGACTACTCTATGTTTAATTATGCTTCTTGCATTGCTTGTGATGTGTGGAGGAATTAAATTACATCTTTGGTTGCATTCCTATGTACATTAATTTGAAAAGCACATATCTCATAGTCATAGATGCTATATTCTTGAATGTGTGTCGTTTTGGGCATGACTTAATCTCCAATTGTTGAAATTCTAGAGATTCCAGACAATGGCATGCAAAATGCTTGATCTATTGTCAAGGTGAAATGAGTCATGCATTTTAGTGACTTTGTGCTTTGGTTATATACACCGGGGTAATATGCTGAATTCCCATGCCACATGAATTGGACATTCCAAATACCAAACTTGCCTATGCATAAACACATGATTAAGACACCGCACACAGCACCCTCCGTCCCCTATTTTGCATCTTCATTTGACACAACAAACACCCTCCAATTGATTTGAAATTCGAATATGTGCTACACTTCAATGAATATTTTGATATGCCCAAAGATTGTCTGGGAAAATTTTGCTAATTCTCAATGATGTCAAGGGCCGAAGGTGGGCACTCGCTCATGGTTCCATATTCTGAAATGTTGATTAGATACACCTAATCTTTCCCATTTTTTTCTTATTGGCAAATTATGTAAATTCAACTAAATATCATAGCTTTCCACGTGCACACCATATTACCACACATGCATCTAGGAAAGTTTGGAGAATTTGTGCAATGCTTATTAGCTTATTAAATTTTTCTCATTTTTGCCTATGCTTTCCACATCGACTTAATGAGTATATTCCTACAAACTTTGCAGGATGTCTCCAAAAAGAACTGTGCACGGGAAGGAAAAGGCAAGCTCATCCACAGGAATAGCCTGTACTCGATAGCTCGTGGGCGAAATTCAGCGATTCCTAACTGAAATTACCGCGGCACGATATGAAAACATCGTACGCCATTGGACTTTGCATGCTGAACGACCTGTTAAGCTTGATGACTTCCCGGGGTTTGAGTTGATCAATTTAATTCAACTCTGTGGATGGCAAAAGTTAGTAGAGAGACCGCATCCACTGTATGAGATCTTATGTCGAGAGTTCTTTGCCAACTTCAACAGTGACATTGACACGCCAGGCTCTGAACATTTCCATCAAATTGGGTGCGGGGAAAATGGATTATGTTCTCTCCCGAGGTCATTCATGATTACTACCAGCTTACCATGGAGAATGTGGTCCCCCTCCCAATTGACTTTAACTGAAATGAAGTGGTTGAGGTTTTAATGGGGCGAGAGAATGCATGGCCCCTCGACACTACCGAGTGGCATCAGATTGAGCTTACTCCTTCCATGGCCATTCTATGGCTCTTTATGTGCCATAATGCTGAGCCGATATCACACAGGACTACATTCCCAGATCAGACAGTAGGTTTCATTTACCACTTGGCTCGAGGTAACAAAATTGATCTCGCTACTCATATATACAATCAACTACACTCATTGGGGACTTGGAGGGATCGACGCTCCACTTTGATATTCCCGAGCCTCATTAGTGGCATATGTCGGGCTACGAGTGTTGCTCTCCTACCTGAGGAATTACCTAAAAAACCCAGCCCAATGATCAAACGAACTACATTTGACGCTTAGACAAGGGCTCGGGTTAAGCATAGAGAAGAGCAGGAGAACGAGGGACGGAGGTAGCAGGCAGCAAAAGGTCAAATCCCTGAAGACCAGGACCACCCACGGGCTCCAGCACCACTAGCTGAAATGGATAATTGGTTGCTGAGACAGATTTTCTCCACCACCACGGGCATTAGCCGGGACCTTCACAGTTTCTTTCAAGATTTTGGCAACATGAGGACTGACTTAGGAAGCTTACAGAGGGACAATCACCTTGCATTGAACTACATCAGAGATGCTAGGGATCATGCTACAGTCATGCGATGGGAGGTTGACACCATGAATGGGCGGTTGAACATGTATGTTGGTCGGGTGGACGGTATCCAGATGAGGGTAAATGAAACTTGGGAGACCATGAGAGCTATCCAGGCCGAGCAGATGCATTAGTCTACCTTGATGCGGGAAATGAATGAGATAATGCGGCAGCTCTTTGGACGACAACCCCCTCCATTAGATGATGGTACAGCAGGACTCAGTTTCCCACCACCTCATCCGTTTTGATTCAAGGGAAGTACTATTTACCACATTTTGGATTTTCATTTTTTTGTATTCCGTAAAATTCTGTCTTTCATCTTTTGTTTATTTTACATTGAGGACAATGTAGTAACAAAGTTTGGGGAGGTGACATAATTTTAACTAAGTATTTGTATTATTTGTGTTCATCGGTATGTGTGCATGAATTTTTTTTTTTTTTGCATTTCATTCATTTTTGTTTTAACTCTTCTTATGCATGCTTGTGTGGGCTTGATAACCTTGCTAGCTATGATGTTAAAATTGGACTAGGTTAAACGACAAAATCTTTGGATCTAATGCAATTAGGTTATCTGACACATGTTGATGCAAAACTTGACATTATTTGTGTACACTATTCATGCTTGACATATTAGATAAATGACTGGATTTTGAGCAGAAAATAGAAAAAGAATGATAACCCTCTATTGAATGAAACCGTAAACTGCCTTAAGATAGTTTGGTGATGGTTGAGCTATTGTAAGGGAGCATTGAAATGAGTAGCGGCTCCGTGCATGAATTCTATTGTGTGGATTGCCTAGACCAGTGGGGTGAAGATTAGATGAAAATCTTAAATTAGAGGTTAGTTTTGGAAACTAAATGTCTAGAACAATAAGGGCATAAAATAAACTTGTGAAAACAATGCACTTCTTTTCATGCCTTTACGACTCGAGCAAATAAGCTTGTAAGGATAGTTCGAAATCTGGTGCCCTAAAGTCAACTGGCTTGGGAGTCACCGGCCTAAAGCTCGTTAAATGGGTCATATAGAAAACAAGAGGGAAAGAAGTTAATTGAAAGTCATCTGATCGAGCCTTTATAACTCGAGTGAATAAGCCTACAAGGGTTTAAAACCTGGTGCCCTAAAGCCAACTGGTTTGGGAGTCACCGGCCTAAAACTCGTTAAATGGGTTATATAGAAAGCAAATAAGAAGATGGTAAAAAAAATAAAAAAAAAAATAAAATTTAGAGAAAAGTGAGAAAAATAAAAGAGAGACAATAACATGAAGAAAAACCCTTGGACATTTGGTTGAAGAAACTATACCTTTGAGGCGAAACAAGTAATCTAGTTTAATCTTGAGTGTTGAAGCAATCAAATTTAGGAGAGCCTTCACTTGTTGAATTGTAAACTTGTAATAGTGAGATTAATCCAAACTACGAGAGGGTGAGGACTACAGCTATGTAAACTCCTAATTTTAAAAAAACACAACCCCGGGATAATTGAGTGAAAATAATAAGTTTGGGGGGTTGTGTATCTCTCGAGCGAGTAAGGATACATTTGACCACTTGGGGTCGGGACTCAAACCCATCATGAATCTAATATGTTGGCATGAACTCACACACACAGACGTCAAGTGCGCATTTAACAAGCGAAGGTTGATGCCATTAATCTTTTTGCACTAATATATCTTCATCAAATCGAACACTTAGTCCAATCCTGAGCCGTAGCAGGGTATTAAGCCATGTTTGTTCAGAATTTAGTTACTATCTTGTTTGAGGACAAACAATAGTTCAAGTTTGGGAAGTTTGATAAGTGTAATTTTGCACACTTATTTAGGTCACAAACATGACTTAATTATGAATAAAATGATTGAATTGTGACTTAATTTCATTATATTTGTGAATTGTAGGTAACACCGATGGACATGGTGAAATACATGAGAAAAGACGCGAAAAAAGACTAAAATGACACAAAGTGAAAGTTCAAGGACCAAGGTGCAATTACTCAAAAGTTGACCCGATGAACAAATCAAGAAATTGAGTGTGCCAAATATGAATTGATGACATTTTGAGATGTTGGAATGTGAAGAATGAAGAAAAGATGTAAAAAAATGGAAGATTAAAGTGAAGGGACCAAATTGTAGGAACTGAAAGATAAATTCTACCATGCGGTCGCATGGTAGAA